ACTCGACATTAATGACAAAAACAATATATTTTGACTTGACACCTTTTGCAAATATTACTTGGCTTTAATAACACCACTGATAAGGTTTTATAGAAGTCTTAGAGCCTACTAACCTTTTGCAGAAAAGTTTTTCCTTTATTTTACTCGATGTGGTGTATACGAGTTCTATGAAATGTATGATATACTGATTAATGCATACTATTTTTCCAAACTAGATAGGTACTTTAGTTTATTAACAACTTTGAAAAGAACAGTTTTATAAATTTTTACAGTGTAAGAAAATCAATGAAAAGATTTATTACTAGTGTATGTGACATGTGTAATGAGTAATGACTAATGGAATATACCTATACAGTAGTAGCAAGTAGGTAGGTATGCAGTAGTGCAGTACCTACCTATATTATAACTAAAGACCGGATTTAATTGATATTGCAACTTTTTTTTTAGTTAAGATAAATCAAACCTGATCAAATATGTACACGATTTGTATTAATTACTGTCTTTCTGTTTAATTTTATGTTGCAATTTATTGCAATTTTTTTCAATTTTGTATATTTCACGTAATCAAATGTACAAACCAATATTTCTTAACTAATTGTATCATATAAAAATAATAACATTATTGTGGATTTTTATTATTGGTTTGATTATATGATCTTAGAAGTATAAAGGAGTATTATCTATGTTATTTATCGCTCGTCTGGAATTTTGCTAGCTCAAATAACTACGACTAGCGATAAGCGTCGTGTGCGATTACCCGTTGATACGTACTAGTACCTATTTCTTTGATCAATGATCAGTTTGACCGCACAAACCGACATTGAACGTATTCCTCGAAATGCCTAAAATAAAATAAAATTTAAAATGTAGTTACACTTATCCGAGTTATGCACGAATCTCAAAAATTTGGAAGAATCTAATAGTGAACTATTGAAAAGTATGGATATTTTTAGAAAACTTGAAGATATTTTAACAAATATTCCTGGTCCAAAAGGGGAAAAAATTAAGGAAAAATGTGTGTATGTATTTGAAAAAAATGAAGGGTATAAAACTTTAAAGTGTTACTATGAAGTCATGTCAGGTAAAACAAATGTTAATTTAGATATAACGTCTACTTTATTAAATTGTTTTAAATAATATGCACCAATAACGAGTGTTGACGTAGAACGTAGTTTCTCGTTGTACAAACATATTTTAAGTAGGTAATAGAAGATTTAATTTTAATGAAAATAATTTAGAAATGTATTTAATCATCAATTTTAATTCAAAAATGTAATATTAATATTAAATGTAACTGGGTAATGTAATATTAATTAATGAATATATAAATACAACTTGCATTTTTATAGTGCAATTTATTTTGCTGGACAATGAATTTTCATTATGACATAAAAAAATTTCTTGAGGGGGGAAAGGCAAATGCCCCTGTTGCCCCCCCCCCACAAGTACGCCACTGTATGCCACATAGATTTTACACTGTAATATTTTCCTGTCAACATTACACATAATATAAAATAAAAATCTTCTAATAAAAACTTATTTTTAATTAAAATAAACAATTAAGCACTTTAATATTAATGTCAAATATAACATTATAAAATAAAAAATACTTGATTAAGGAATAATAAGTATAGCACCATAATTTATTTAATAGGGTACCTATCTAATGAGAATGTACTCTTCAATATAATTTAAAATAAAGAATACATAAACAATATGATTTTTTAATACAAAAATAACATGTATAAAATAATAAGTAGGTACCTAGGAGGTACTGGAAAAATATTAAATTTAAATAAAAGTATAATAACAATGATGAGTTATAATATTAATCACCTTCTTCTTCTTCTGATACTAATAGATCAGTAATGTTTTTATTAATTTTCAAATTTTTATAGAATTTGTGTTACTCTTTCACTATCAGAATCTACTAGCACCTGCAGTGCATTTTTTACAGCTGTCCAATTTTTATTAAGACTCTGACATGCATCATTTCTAGCAGACCATCTTGTTACTGAAAGTCCCTGGTTTAGTATATGCCAGCGGTGAGTTGATGATGAAAAAAATATATATAAATTTTGTACAAATAAAAAATAATTATTTGCCACACTACAACAACTGGCTGCACACAATCCAATAAGATTTAAAGAGTGAGCAGAACATGGAACAAAATCAACAAGAGGTGCTACTAACTTAATTCGAGCTTGAACTCCTGAATAGGCACCAGACATATTCGCGGCATTATCATATGATTGACCTCTAAGAAATTTAATATCAATATTATGCTTATTAAATGTAGAAAAAATAGCTTCTGCTATTGGTTCAGCTTTGTGTCCAATATTTTCCATGAACCCAAAAAATCGATCAACAGGTTCTCCAATACTATTTACATATCTTATGACAAATGATAACTGGTCAACATTTGATATATCAGGTGTTGAATCAACGCTAATCGAATAATATGTTGAAGATTTTAATTCTTCTACTATGGCACTTATTACTTTTTCAGCCATGATTTAAATAAACTGTTAATAAGTAAAAAATGACATATAGGATGTATTTCCTTTACCTGGATTTCCATAATTTAATATATGTTTTGATAAAAAGGGATCATACTCAGCATTTCAGCAATAAGTTTCATTGCCATTATAAAATTTCCATTATTTTTGCCAGAAGATTCAAAACTGTCATCTCCATCTCTGAATGACAAACCATGGCTAGACAATGATTTAATAACAGAAGAAACTCTATTGAGCACATTGACCCAATAATCAGTCTCAGTTTGAAGTTTATATGTAAGTTGTGAGTCTACTCTTCCAAAATCTGATGAACGATGCTTCATTTTAAATATACAAGTTTTATGCATGGTTGAATTTTCATGAGTATTGATTTTATTTGGATGTTTCCAGTCTGAAAATCCCTTACATGAAAAATTTGATGTATTTCCAAACAAATAACATGGGATGCAGTATATTTTACCAGTACTAACTGAATAACTAAGATAGTCTCTTTGGCATGTTTTACCATTAATTAACCTTGTTTTAAATAAATCTTTACTGAGGTACCTATTATGAGGTCTAAATTTTCCTTGACGTATATACTGGTATTGTGTATTAGATTGTGAGAAATCACTATCCAAGTTCTGTTTAAATCCATTTATGCAAATAAAATCTCTAGTCACCTCATTTAATATCCATAAAGCAGGATTATCACTAAAAAAAATTTCAAAAATAATGATTTTATTTTAACCCTAAAATTCTAAATAAAATTGGTATCTATTTTGTTATGCAAATATTATTAATTTTCTTATTAGTAATCTTAGGTATAATTCTTAATTTAATTACTTACTCTGGCATATCTGAAGAACTGGGTGTGTAAAATGTTCACTTCATTGGCAATTTGAGATTCAAAACATTCATTTCTATCATGCAATTCATTATTTGATTTACATTTCACTAAAGATTGATCAGTAAGTGGTACATTCATACTTTTTACAGAATCAATAAATTTATTGCTTGAACGCCTTGAACAAACAAAATAATCAATAAACATTATTTTCTTCATTCTATAGATTAAGTTAGGTTAGGTATTCTATTTTCTTCATAAAATAGGTACCTACCCAATATTATCGATGATTTCACTGGCAACAGTATGAACGGAGCCTATTTGTTGTATTCTTAAAAATAGGGTACATATTATTAATTTATGTTATCTATGTTACAACTAATTTCCATTATTACTATTCTTATAGTGTGAATAGTTCAACATCAGAAAAAATTTAAAACATAAAGCGTTTGTTCACTAGAATATCTTAAATCTTAATATTATGTTCTTTGAAAAAAATGTCTACAAATAAAATAAATGTAATTAATTTATATTTATTCAATGAACACAATTTTTTTAACAGTTGAACTAATGAACTATATGCAAAAATTTAAATATTATCTAAATTTAAACTTACCTTGGAACATTACATCAGGTTTCATATTATTTTTCATACTTTTTTTTACATTATCTTTTTTAATTTTACTTAATTTTCGGTAAGCACAACCACTTAGCTTTCTACCCATAATTTCAATTTGAAAGAAGTTTATGTTATAATCTCAGTTAATAGGCAAATATAAAAAACTAAGTAAAGTCGTAAGTAATTAAAAAGTTTCATGCTTTCATGTCTTTATAGTTTAAACTTTTAAAGGTATTATTGTTATTACCARTTACTGATTAATATTATTATTTAATGACAAATAACAATAAATGTGTTAAACATTATTATTATTATATATAAATAAAACATAATAATATTTAATACAAGTAATATATATAATTAAAAGT